TTGACTTCCAAAGTCCTAATTGTTTYACTATAGACGTTAAATGAATCATTGAAAAATGTTTTGCTTTATATAGTGGTTTCTTTTTTGAACAGTTGGACCCAGAAATACGTTCCAACTTGAAAGTTCTGTATGAAAAAGTCTATTATTTTGTGGCTTACTCATTTGAAATTGCTCGACAAGAAATATGCGGGTCRGGTACACGCAGACATCTCACGTTGTGTTGAGAGAAGCATCGCGGTAATTTTCACTAATGCGATTTAAATCAAATCGAATTTTCTTTAAAGGAAAGCCAAAGAATCCGCAGTAATCGGATCGCGGTAATTTTCCTTCCTGGAAATATAAAGTTAAATATGATCGTCATATATATATTATGCTAAAAACGCTACTGATTTTACTAGAAGCTAGTACTATTAAAATTGTTTATCAAAAATCTAAAACATATTCTTAATAAAAAAATTAAACGACTGATTTAATCAAAAATAATTTTTYCGTCTGATTATTAAACACAATTGAAAAAATAGATTAATACACATTAGTAGACCCTAATAGGACGTTTACATGATGGGAATTTTCTTTTTTATTCAAATTTGTATTCCCTCATGAGAATATAAAAACATGCGTATTAGGTAAATTACGAGCCTCGTATGAAATGACTGAAGAAGAGGGCCAATGGGCCTTTCACAACTTCAAGTCGCGTAAAAAATGAGCTGGCAGCTCAACTAGAAACCGTGGATAGCTGTTTTGGCCTATATTGGGCCTCGTCAGGACGGTGCATTTAGTGAGCTGGTAGTCGTTTCATACAAGGCTCGTAACTTACCTATTACGCATGTTGTTATATGATTTCCGAGCYCATCCCACACGGCTTACCGCTTCATCCCTATGAGAATAGTAAGGGAGTCTGGTTAGTAGAGGTCAATGACACCATCGTGCAAACGTCCTTTCCATTGTTTCCTTTTGTGTTTGTATGACCATTACACGTTCACTGACATTTTTTATTTATTTCACGGGTTAAATTCCTTCACTCAAACAAAAATAAAAGAGTTCACTATTAGTTTGTTTCCTGGAAATTTTTTTAAAAAGTTTTATTTTGACCTGATCCTTTCTGACTTTAAGTTGGCAAGTATTTATTAAGTATGRGACTTGCAATTTGGTTCACATAAAAGTTCATCTACCAGGGAGTGCAGTTTTTGAGATGATTAATCTTTTATTAATTTATGTTGATTTGTTAGGACCATACTTCCAGACATCGAATGCTGAACCGTCGTATGGCAGCGCGAAGCRTTTACGGCTACGCCGGAGATTTCGGCCCCGACACCTTATCCGAGGACTTACAGACTGATCAGGAAGCTCGGCCGAAGCCTAAGGGAGAGGTTAGTCGGCCCCTAGACCGTAGATGATTAACCCCTTTAGTATTGCTATGACCAGCAGGCCCGGTTTGTCGCCCGTTTCGCTGATCACTAAGAACCAATGATCTCTCCTTTCCATGTGGGACACGTTTAAAAAAGTAGCCATGGATATACGTTTATGTATTTACTTGCGCATGCCCATTAAAGGTTGCTTGTAACAGCTTTTTTCTGACCGCAGTCATAGACTTAAACGGCCGCCATATTGGATGAAAGATTTTTTCTTGTTGAGGTATTGATATGTCTTGCAAATTGTCGTTACTCCGAGGAATGCTTTGCAATCTTATAGTAAGAGAATTCGCATCCTAGTTTAAAGTTTCGTTTCAATATACTGATTATGGAGCAACGTATTAGAAGGCACAGYACTTCTGTTAGTAGATTTACTATCTGATGTAGTTCCAACAGTACTGGACCATTTTGTACAGGAAAAACGATTACGATAGAGACTTCTTGCTCGCTTATTGAGGGCAAAAGCAAAAGCAATGTACACTCCCTGTAAACCATTGATCAAAACGAAAGGGTACCAGAAGAACTCGCAACCAAACGGAGCAATAAAACCAAACGCCCATGGGAATCCCATCAGTGTAGCGATACGTACGTAGATACAAAAGCTTTGCTTGCTGTCATTATGGTCTGAGGCAGCTCTTGCTTCGGTTGCAGTCGCCCTGATTGCTTTCAACGTCAAGACATAAAGCACGACGTTAAATATAAGAGAAAAGGCAACTGGGACAGCAAGAAAATACAGTATGGCCCATTTACTTCCTATCCAGCATYTTCTGGATTTATAACTGATGGTTACAAAATTATTCGAGTCTAGCACGACACAGAAACTCACATAGGCCAGAGCAGGAAGCCATCCAACTGCCATATGGCGTAAGCAGTGCTTCATTTTTTGGGACCTTGAATCCGCCAATGGTCTTCTTCCTTTGGCAGAGAAAGCCCTCCAAGTGTCAAAGGCGATGATTGACGTCCACACAAAAGAGACAAGGAAGAGGTAATGTAGAATGACMGCGATGACAGTACAAGCCATGGGTGTGTCTGTCTTTCCACTTCCAAGTAACCACAACAGTTGTGCCAGCAGAATAGAAACACTGAGGTTCATCAGGTTGATTCCTGGTGGTGTTCGTAGCTCACTGAACAAGGAATAAGTCACGAGGACAAACACCAGGCCGATGATAGACAAGGACATGCAGACTAWGGTTATGGTGGTCAATASTGSATCGTCTTTTGGTACRACTTTGGATTGGTAATRAGTTGTAGARAMGTTTTCACAGACCAGCACACTCTTGYTTATCCATGTGTATTCTGACMAATCATAAACCTGTTTKGAAGCGTTCACGAATATGGACTTGTTCATYAGGACTCTAAACTCTCCTTCATTAATCAGTATATACACCCCTGAACAGTTGGATAACTGCTGTTGACGGCACACAAATATAGCTTGGCTGTCATTGGCTGATTTTCCATCCACATAATACTCTCTAGCCTTTAGTATTTCGCCTGTCGCTTTTATGAAAACCGCTGATGGAGTATCTTGTACAACAGTGTACTCATTCCTACTGTAATTCTGGAGGTTGGTGCAGCTTATTATTTTTGTATTTGCTTTGAATAAAGTGAATGTTTCTCCAAAGAGAGATACATCGAAGGGCGAATTCCATTTTAAAATGTCCTCAAAACTCATTCTTTGGACGCTGCTTTCTCTAGGGGATCTTCTGTAGGGTTTCTTTTGTCCATTTGAAGAAAGCCGAATGTTAAATTGAAGATTAAACATGACTTGTGATGCAATTGCAATCTTCGGTTCGCGTATTTGAGTAGTATTAACCTGAAATAAGTTTCCCAACGCAACTGTAAGTACACTCGTGTTTAATTTCATTATTTTGGTCTCATTGCTGAAAACTGTGTTGATTTTAAGGCGAAACCAAAGAAGAGCTTGGTACTCCTGAACAGAAGAGGTGCTGGGCAGCGTCTCGTATCCTTTGCGGCATACTTCCAAGTAGTGGTCATAAAAATGCTTAAATGGACAATTTACTTTGGTGTAAYTCTTGGTGTCGCTGCGTTCTCCGTTCTTGAAGTCAAAGATGACTGAAAATGGTTGTGGATACGGAAGATATCCAGAAATAGGAAAAGTACTTCGAGGACCGCACTCGATTTCATTATGTCGTTCACATATTGCACAGTAAATATTTTTGTAATTGACTTTTATTCCAGGTATAAATACAATCCCTGCTGAGCCATTGATGCATCTGTTCCAGATATATTCATCATTGAYGTAACTATAGCTTATTACGTTCACATTTAGGCAGTATCGCCTTGGTGCATTTACAGGTGCTTTCCAGTTAATCTTACTTGAGTCGCAATAAGAAAACAGAAAATCAAATCTTTGGCTTGGGGAAAAAGTGGCAGGAGGCGAGACGGCACAGGTAAACGACAGCTCAAAGTGAGTCATCTCTGAAGGAGAAACTCCATTACACTGTGCACAGAAGCGATTGTGGTACACTCTGCCATTGTTGGTGTACACAGGAAGATAATGATAGTTATCTTTAGTGATYGTATTGGCAMTGGAAAGATTCCTGCATCGATACAGGACATCATCTTCTGGCCAAGAACTTGGACACGATCCAATCATCCAGACGCCAGTTATGTCGTGCAGGATACGGTCACCACTGTAACATTTCCACAGGTTTCTGTTCAGCTGACTAACCAGA